CCCCGAAACACTAAACCCCGAGACCCGAAACACCAACAACCCAAAACACATCCAAACGCCCAAACCCCGAAAACCACACACACACACACACACACACACACACACACACACTTGAACACCCAGGCTTCTGGGAATGTACACTCATGTGGTGACTTCAACTCAGCAATGAGCTCAAGCAATAAGCTCAAGACTCAGCTGAGACTTCAAGAGAAAATGTTGCCATGGATCTCGAGGCTTGGTTGACCTTCCCTCTGGTTCCTTTGCTGCTGGTTTACTAGAAAAAGCGCAACCGAGAGTCACCTATGACCTGAGACCTGTAACTTGGGCGGCAATCACTCACACGGTCCACTCATGCATTCGAAATGTGACCAATCCAGCTGTGCATACCGCACCCAGGAACTGNNGAACTGATCTGCAGGTACGTTTTCCTAGCTACATCATACAGAGCTTCGTTGGCCCGAGCTGTATGATGAGCCCTCGGGCCCCCTGCTGCAACCAAGTGTTCCCGTGGTATTTTGGGATCCCCACACACACGCGCGCACCACGCACGCACGCGAGCACACATGGGTGCACTTATACATGTGTATAGTATATGTGTAACACATTTATTTCAGGATATAAGAGCATTGATCTAAAATGATGTAAAAGTCCTTGTCTTCAAAGTTAGATACAACCGTTTTTGGATGTAAAGTAATGTGTCTGCGAAAGTTTGGCGAGGCTCCGCGAAAGGCATCAACAAATCCGCATAAGTTCTACCTAGTGGGCTTGCAGCTTAAAATCTTTAGAAGATGCCAGCATCCTGCAGGCGTACAGGCCCCAAGCACGTTATGGCGGTACGCAGCGCGAAAGTTTCGCGCAAGTTCCGCGAGAGCGTCGTTAAAGTCGATGTAGCCAGATCTAGGTCATTGTTAGGCTCTTTGGTGCACATTGCTACTATGCCACGCGAAAGTTCCGCGAAAGGCAGCAACGAATCTGCGAAGAAAACACTTCCGGAAACAGAAGCATGAATCAACGCTCAGAGTGTACACATCTATATAGATACATAGAGACACAAAGACAGCTACGCCACCGGCGGGACAGGCTTTCGCACCCAACCCCTTCCCCCACCCATAGTCCCTGTTTACAAAATAACTACTCGGATACCTGTTCACCACCCTCGCCTCCCCTCGCCTCTGTTTAGGTGCTGTTTTGGCTCCCTTCACCCTTGCTGTGGAACGGCTTATGGCTCCCCTGTAGAATGGTTCGGTCAGGGTTTAGAGTTTTGCTCGGGAAAGAGGAGGTAGGCTGCAACGCACAGCTCGCAACCGCACCGCATGCGTTTGTTTGTTTGTGTGTGTGACATGGTCACACCCCCCATCACTCAAAATCCACACCCGCCTCTCACGGCTCTAGAGGCTGCTGCCCCGTTTGGTTTAGTGATGAGAAGACACAGAGAGCTCCTTGCCAGTATGACAAAGGGAACCCGCAGAACCGAGGGTTTTGATTATTGAACCCCAACTCCAATAGCTGCACTGTTCTTTCCGTTGCAAGAAAGAGGAAAACTCCTTTGTGAGTGAGATAGGAGGGCATGCAGGGAGACTTTTGACAGAAAGAAGGAAGAGAGCTCCTTCAACCTTCCAGAATAAAGCAGGATGAAACACGATTGGCCCTCTTGATACTCGTCAATCAAAAATGTGGTTCCGCATCCTTGTAGCACGCGTAAGATGACGTTTTCATGGAAGAAACTTTCTTGTTGTGTGTGACACCATCTATGACAGCTATTTCGGTATCTCATTTCGAGGACAGACGACAGATTGCGACAGCATCAGTCAGCAAGAGTATATGAAAACTCCTGTTTCATGGGAAGGATGTCCTATGTTGATGGCAAATGCCAAAGAGTTCCTACGGTCTCAGTATGAAACAAGATATCCCTAAGGTGGGACCTGTTCATTTTATCAAGCAAGGGCCACGAAAGCTCTTGCTGTTTCACAAAATATCAGATGGGACCTCTTGTGATGCAAACTATGCCAGCGTCTAATCCACAGCAATGGACAGAGCGATCGGTGCGTTTTTCAGGATATGAAGGAGTCTGAAGGAGGCAGCTTCAAACAGAAAAATGGCAAGTGTTTGCTCTTTGCGGAAAGAAAAGAAGTCGACAGCCGATTAGTAAAAAGTAGTAAACACGTCGTTGTTTGCCTGTTGATCGGATCTATGGAGTGCTTCTTGAAGGTTGAAGAGAGCTCCTCTTAATGTTGTGTTATGTTCTATGACAGCTATCAGAGAAGCAACCATAGATATAGCGATCGGTATCTTATTCCAGGATATATTATATATGACAGCAGCGATAAAAGTCAATGAAGCTCTCCGTCTCATAGAAAGTAATGATACCAGAATGTAAAAGAGTTCCTACAGTCTTGAGTATGATGACAAATAAGATTAAGATCGGCCGTCTTTTTCCCCTGAAGACTGGAGAGACCTCCCTCTTGTTTTGTCATACACCGTTTCCCATCCTGGTCATCACGAAACACTGCAATGTTCAAAAACATTCAAAATTTCCAACCGTGAAACTCACAAAAGTGTATTGCTGAACGAACTCCAAAAAGTACAAAATCCTGGCATCTATGGCTATGAGGAGGGGGGAATCTCCTTGGTGAGCGTTGCAATGTTTCGTGGCTTGAACCTCACAACACAATGTAATTCTCAAAAGGATCGACAGTCTGACATATTTCAGAAGTGACACAGCCCTGATGCGGTCAGAGAATTTGTGCTGCTTTTCGCGGCAGGGGACCGCCCAAATGCCCCTACAAGGCATGTCAAAAAATCCCATACAGTCGTGATGTGAGAGTAAGGAGCGGATGATGCCATGCCGTTGCAACAGATTCGAATATGCTTTGGCAATCATCACGCGATTGCACATCAGGCCCCGAGATGGTCATGAGCTTCGTCAACCACGGGATGGAAGTCGAGCAGGTACCTGCACCCTTTCCGTCTCTGGTGTTCTTCTGTATTCAGAGTGTCGCCAGGCTTTTGGCCAAGGGTCTGCTTCCCACCCCTCAACATCTCAGACTCGCATAGCTCACGATCACAGTATGTTTCGCGCGACTGGCTGCCTCTATGCAAATGAACGCAATGCACAACGCAGCCAGGCTGGATGACACAGCAGCTGTTGAATCAACAACAAATCAGCATCTCATGACATGCAGCTTTCATGCTTTGTCCATTCGTAAGTCTGCTATACTTCTGATGCCACATAAGTTCGAGTGCGCCTTTGCGAGCGAGAAACTGTTCGGAACGTCAAGCCCATGACCTGTTGGAACGGCCGTCGACTCCGTCGACGGTTCATTCTGGCGGTGCCTTGATGGAGAGTGTGGATTCCGCAAGAGTTCGGCAAGTTGTACTTGTGCACCAGCATCAGAGACTATTTCGCGCCTTGCATGAAAGACTGCCAGTCGGCAGATGCCGGCAGCTTGGCAACGGTGGAAGTCGTGACACCTGGGGGCAGTGAGCTCCTTAAGCAATCTGAAAAATTTTGACTTGTCAGGGTGCTTCAAGGAAGGTCTCGGCAGCATTTGGAGCTCGAGCCCCATAGCTAGCAATGAGAACATTTAGGTCGACGAGGGCACAAAAGCCGCCTACATTTGTGTTGGTAAGAAGTGCTAGCATGATTAATTCCAATATAAATGCACACCGCAGTCGCTACAACAGCGGTCAAGCTAAGCCATCGGTTGTCTAGGTTCTGCATCTTTGCAGCACAGATACCCCAGACACACTGCTTTTCCAGATTGGACATGACATGCCCTGGCAGTGCAATTTACCGTTGCTGTAGATGGATTCAGAAGGGTCCTTGGCCTCGCTTTCTTTAGCAAGTCGCCTTGCCATGGAGTCGCTCCCTTCAGCAGACATGGTTTTGCAGCTGTTTGGTTGCAGAACTGTTCCGGGGGGCCTGGCCCTGCACTAGGGGCATCACCCAGCCAAGCATGGAGCCTGCAGAGACCTCTTGCCAGTGGCAGCCACGAACTGTTCTTCGGGTGTTTCTTCCTCTGCTCATGCTGGTTTGCATAGGCAGAACCTATCTCGCAGACAGCCGACTCTCGTGGGGTATGGCGGTGGTCCGAGGAGAGATGAAGCGTTTGGCCCCTGCTCCTATCTTCGATTTGATGGGGCAACTGAGTACCGATGGGAACGGGACTCTGCAAGCGCCTTCAATCGCCGATGCTGCAGTAGAGACGACTCAGTTCACCGTCCCTAGCTTCCCAACAACCCTGTCCCCGCAGCAACCCTCTGCCACGTCAATCTCGGCATCCCCATCAAGCACAAGCATCATACTGGTGCCTACAACCAACCCCACTTCCACCACCTCCACGCCTGTGCCGGTATCCAAACCAGCGCTATCCAACGACATGCCTTCTGTGTTTTTCCTGGCTGATCAGCAAAGTCTGCTTCGCAGCAACACCAAGTGCCCGCCAGAAGTTCGTGTCAGTGAGTGGAACGGGAGAATTGGCAACCACTTCCATCAGGTGAGCCAAGCCATTGTAGCTGCCCTTTTCTGCCACATTACCCGTGTCAAATTTCCACCACATATCAGCACACGCTACCAGCAGCAGGATGGTTTGCTGGACATGCCTGAAGAGCTTACCTTGCCGGGAGTCGACCGCCATGAAGAGTTGAAAGTTCCAAACAACTGTCCCAAGCAGCTAACTCACAAGTGGTATCACCAGCATTGCCAGATGGTACCCGCATGGCACCACCAGCAGGTAATGCACAAATTTCTTTGGCCATACCTGGGTCAGAACCTAACAGACCTTGTGCATTCACCACAGGAATCTGCGGCCGACGGCGTTCTGACAATCCATTTGCGTGCTGATGATATTCGACAGTATGGCAGGTATGAGTGGGCCCAGCCACCCTGCAGCATGTATCAGAAAATCATTTCCGATTATGGTTACAAGACCTTGATGGTCGTAGCAAAGAGCAATCCTGTAACGCGGCGCTCGGATGCTGCTTGTGACAGCTGGCTGGTGGACTATGGGCGTGTACATGGCATCAAAATTCTCCGGCCAAAGGATTTATCCTTAGCTGGCGAACCTTGGCCAAAGTAAAAAGTAGTCAGAAGGGACGCACTCTCACAATTGATCAGATGCGGGAGCTGCGGTTCTGGCTTCTGATACACGTGGCCGCAGCGAGTTGCTGGCAGCTGTATCCCAGTATTCTGCTTCTGTTCTGCTGAGATATGCGTACCGAAAACCCAGGATTTGGCAACAATGATTCGTGCGAAGAAGCTTGGCATTGGAAAGTGGGGAAGGTTTGGTCAGTACAGTCGAGTATTATGTTGTACTCACTGAATTCCCGTGTTCTCAGGCGAATGCACAGCGGCAGTAGAATGCAAACCTACTAGTTCTGGACTTCCTTTGTGGACTTTGCGTGATGTTGTTTTGGATTGCGACGTTTGCACAAGAGCTAGTAGATTGTAGATCTGCTGTCGAAGGAACCGTTAATCACGAGTTTAAGGCTTCAAGGCAATGGAGTCCTTGTCCTGCTGTGACAAAATATTTATTGATCAAGGTGTTTGTGCAGTTGAAGCCGTCCCGGGACATGCCGAAACGAATAGACCAAGCAACGAAGCCTTGAAAAACAGTGCTGGGACCAGGAATTTCGTGCTATCCTTCTCCAGCTTTTCCTTGTCGACCGCGCTGCTCAGCAACGACCTCCAGGTTAGCCAGCCTGCCAGCCTGCCACACGCGCGCAAACATCAGCCCGTTGAGTGCCCATGTGTACTTTTTAGTCAAGGAGGTGGGCACGAGCGTTGGATCTTGCTAATTATCCAGCTTCTCAATCCGCACATCCGCTGGCGCTCCTTCTGTACCACACTGGTAACTGTAGAGCATGCAAACTGTGCCTTTTGCAAGTGGCAGGTGATGTACCGTCGGCGTGACGCGAAATGGCACAGCATATTGCATGCCATCGTGAACTGCAATGCTCCTCGGCAGCCGGGGCAGGCAAGCGGCTTGCCATGGTAGCCAGTCCAGGACTCCCCCAGCACACATGTACACATGTGCCGTGTTTCTGTTGCCACGGGCCATAACTGCAAACAACACAATGTTGTTCATCTCAGGTGTGGACAGGCGTCACCCTGTACGAGTACAACACAAGCCTGCAAGAAGAACGGAAAGGTTCGCCAAGCGAGTGGTTGAAAACCTTCCCCTTGGATCAAATCACTGGGCCTTTCACTTGTCAATACGGCAGTGAGATCAGGCCAGAGATCTAAACTTGAGAGACGCTTCGATTGTTGATGCACAAAAAGAGTCCAATGGATCTTATGAAGACCGTGCGGCAAAACGGGAAGGTAGCTTGGATCCAAGAACCTATTCTTCAGACCCGGCCTGGCTATGGATGTGGTTTCGTGAGGTAGCTCACAGAGTCCGCGAGAGAGAGAGAGAGAGCTAACAGAGACGCAATTCATTCCTCGAGTCAACACTGTCACTACTGTACTCTCTTCAAGAACCGGTTGCATGAAAGCCTTAGACCCCCACGTCAAGCAACCCATGGAGTCACGCACGAACTGCACCTGGTTTGGATTGTCCGAATGAGGCGTTTAGGAACGAATCTGCTAGCGGCAAGGGCCCAGTAGGCGGTCCAGGCTAGCCTGCTTGAGCGAGCAGAAGTGCTTAGCGAATTCTATTGACTTGTGACTTGATTCTTCGTGGGGGCAAAGGGTATCGTTCTGTTCTGTCAAAGTTTAGGGTCATCCAAACGAAAGGTCCCGGAGCAGGGACGTGGACGGAAGCTAGCATCACTCTCAAGTGCCCATGAGACTCAAGCTGAGAAGTAAGGTGAAGAAAGATCTGGAGAACTTGTTGGTTTTTGTCACGTTTGCAAGTGGGCAGGTACTGTTGGTTTCAAATTAAGCCTTGCTCCACAATGAGGCCACGGCCGGCATTGTGCCATGTTTCTAAGGCTCTCGGCCTTGGCTTTGCACTTGCCGGGCTTGGCCGCACGATGGCTATGACGTCACAGGTTGCCAAAGCTCGACAAGGTGCTGGGCCAGAGGATTACGTCCTTGCAGCTGGGCACAAGACTGGTCAAGCATGCATCGTCGCTTGCACACAGACGCCGAGTTGTGAGTGAGTCGTGAGGGTCGAGACGGAACCACCCGTGTTTTCCCGACCGTCATCATTCATTCGAGCAGAGTCGTAATAGCATGGCAAAGCAACATAGCGACTTCAATAGCCCTTAATTAGCATTTTTCAGACTCCTGCGTGAAGAGCCTGTCTCGAGTAGTAGCAGTCGTCGTCATCGCAGTCGCCATCGCGCGGTCGATGCCGCAGGCTTAGAAGAAAGGGGCAAGTAGTAGTTAACATAAACAGCAGTAGTCGTCGTCGTCGTAGTAGTAGTAGTAGGAGTAGTAGTCCTAGCAGGAATCCTGAGATCCGGATAGCTTAGCCTTCAGTTGTAGTTTCAGGGTCCCTTCTCCCAAACCAATGCGCTGGAACCAGTTATGGCCGAAGATACCACCATTGTCGGGGACCCCACGCACACATCAGGGGTCGGCACAGGGTAGCTGCTGCCAAGGTTATGCACAAGATGTCGCCTGGCTGCAGCTCAGTGATGTGCAATTTGGTTGTGCGCAGCTCTAGCTAACACAAGGTTGTTTATGTTGCCTATGCTTCATCAGTCCAGCTAGTTGCCGCTAGTTTTCTGATTGGCTCATGTCCTCAGATCGAGCTCATTAATGGGCCTAGAAATGTTTCGAACTGTTTGCACACAGCATCCTGGTTAGTGGATGTGCAAAGGCTTTTGTGTTTGCAGTGCGCCAGAGTTGGCCAGCTGGTTTCGGTTTACTCAGAATGCTGTTTGATAGATGCGGGGCTGCGACAAACGGAGTATAGTCAGCAGGTGCCCCTTTGCCCAAAGGGCTTGGTTCGCCATGGAAGAGTCAGGGTTGAACTTCAAGCTGAAGGAGGTCGGTTTAG